ACCATTAGGGTTTAGGGTTTCGCACCTACTCACTCACTCCTTTTAGGGTTCAGGGTTTCGCACCCACCCGCTCCTTTTAGGGTTCAGGGTTTCGCATTTAGGGTTTATGGTTTCGCACCCACGCACTCCTTTTAGGGTTGAGGGTTTCGCACCCACCCACTCTTTTTGGGGTTCAGAGTTTCGCACCCACCCATTCGTTTTAGGGTTCAGGGTTTCGCACCCACCCACTCCTTTTAGGGTTCACGGTTTCACATTTAGGGTTTAGGGTTTCGCACACACTCACTCCTTTTAGGGTAGAGGGTTTGGCAGCCACCCACTCGTTTTAGGGTTCAGGGTTTCACACCCACGCACCCCGAGAGGAACACCCAAATCCCAAAAATCATCATCGTCATCATCATCAAACTCATCATCATCATCATCATCAGAGTAGGTGCACCTTGCTCCGAGTAGGTGCGCGGCCACAAGAACATGCAAAAATGCAAATCAGCGTGCACGCAGCATCCTCGAGACAGTTGTCATTTTAGGGGCGAGTTGTTCGCGCGGCACAAGAAGAAGCCAAAATGCAAAAGAGCTCACAGGCAGAATCCTCGAGACAGTTGTCATTTTCGGAGGCGAGTTGCTTACATGCCTAATTGGGGCCTCCCTGGCCGTCCCGCGACCATGTGCCGAATAGTACGCGCCTGCCAGCTAAACCACCCCCCATCCGGCTCCGCAGAGCAGGTGCGCGGGCAAACCGCCCATTTTGCGCCTACTACTACTACTACTACTACTACTGCTACTACTGCTACTGCTGCTGCTGCTACTGCTACTACTGCTACTACTGCTACTGCTGCTACTACAAGTACTACAGTGCTCCTTGTGGTTGAAATAAATATTTCTTCTGATGCGAATTTGATTTCTGTTTTGATTCGTCACCCTTGTTTTTTTTTGCGAGACTTGGTGCATAAGTGCCATGTTGCATGTTTTTTGATCCTGTTCTTTAAACCTCGTGGCTTCGTTTCTTCTGACCCACAAGTGATTCTGATCCATCACCCCGGTTTGGAAGCTGCATGTTTTCGCACGGTGCTTGTTTTGAAGTCAGTTTACGGGATGTGCCATGAACTCTTGACAGTCTCACGACCTCAGCGTGTGGGCTCCAGATTGCAGTCGAACATTGCAGCACAGGCTGTGTGTTCGCAAGAATTTGTTGAAACCGGCATGTTGCGAAGTTTGTTCACTAACATACGTTCAGGCACCTTACTTATGCATCTTAATGCAAAAACTGTGTCACCCCTGTGATTTCCCGTCCCCATCATGTCCAGGCTTTCATGCGTCATGTGAAGGATCAAACTTCTTGTTGGCTGCTGAGCTGTGAGCATTGGCAGGTGATAGGAACTGAAGGCTATGTCATCGGACTCCCACATTGCGCAGGCAGGCAAGATGCCCGCCTCTTGTTTTGAGCAACCGATGTTGGCAGGCATGTTCAAAGCGCTGCGGTGCCAAAGTCCTTTATGTCGATCTCGTCAGCTTGCAATTCGAGGACTTTCGGTAGCATCAGGCTACCAAATCTAGCTCGCGCAAGTTGCGAACATCAGCGTCAGGAAGAAGTAGAAGACGATGCCCTCGAAGATGAGAAAGCTCCTGCCGGTGCACCAGGAATCTTTGCTTGATCAGAATTGGCCTGACACGCGTTTGCAGCCAGGACCAAAATTCGGTTCTTCCAGAAGGGTGTACATCTGTGTCGGGCAGCCGTAATCCAAGAGTTTTTGTGTTGGAATGTTAGAGTGTGACCCACATCGGGTCCGAACCGGTCACACCCGAGGTCGTGCATCTTCTTGCTGAGAGCCAGCATGCAGCCTCCCAAAGATGTGAGAGACAAGACGACAGCTGGTCGTACTTACATTTTCTGAGGTCTCAGAAGTTGAAAGCGTACGACGGTCAGATCGACTATGTCTGGATGGAAAAGATTGTGCAGGACACGAGCAGCAGGTGAAGAGCTGGGGTTGGGCATCGAAGCAAAGAGAGCGTGAGAGCACAGAGCTGCGTGACATGAGGTCTCGATTTCTCTTGGCCTTGAACGAGAAGCGGCCCAAGGCAGCTTCAGTGTGAGCGCACGTGTGTGAGCCCTTTCGCATCTCAGCCCTTTCGCATGCCAGGGATCTCCGTCTCAGTTCATCGTCGACACGGACAATCGCGATAGCTTGCTGACCTTGATCTGCACGAACTATGTCTCGGCCAAGCTCCCAGTCCAACGATCCGAAGAAGTCTCTGAGATCCTCACAGCCAGGATTGCATGCAAGATCTCGGGAGTTTGAATACCCTACCGTTCCTCCAGCACAGCTTGGCCACAAGCCCTGCGCCAAGCCGCAGCTCACTCAGCTCGAAGCGCCAATCCAAACCTCACTTAGAGCTATTTGCGATTGCGCAGGAGTCGCTGCTCCAAAGGGCTTCAAGATGATGGAGTTTCGCGGCTACACCTTCTTCATAAGGTGGTTAAGAGAGACTGCGGCTGCCGACAGCTGTCGCTGGCTGCACCGCCGTTCTTCGTTCGGGGAGGCAAAGTTTCAAGGAGCAGCCCAGCAAGATCTCCAAAGTCTCTACGGGGCACTTCAAGGCCTCTGAGGGCGATTTGAATCTGGGGGAGAGGCCTGCGGCCAAGAGGGGCCCAGGACAGAGCGAAGCCTTTCAAGGAGGTTCCGGTCAGTCGTCTCAGGTCCTGGGGATGGTCGCGGCAAGGCAAACCCCCCCCCCCCCCGCAGTCAGAAGTCGGCCTCTTTTTGTCCTGCCCGCAGGCGAGGTGGAGCTCTTCGTGAACGTGGTTGATCCGTGGGAGCCTCGAACGCTCCGCGCGCCTTTCTGTCGTCGCAGCTGCTCGCCCTGCACTGATCAAAGGATCCCGCTGTCGGAGTTGATACCCCTTGGCCGCGAGCACGTCCGATGGGTGGCAATGGAGTGCAAGGCCTCCTTGTTGAAGCAGGAAACCAAGACAGGATTTAGTCGATGGAAAAGGTTCTTCTGACCCTGTCCCCCGCCAAAGGTCATGGGATTCCGTGGTTTTGCAGAATTCTCCGTACACGAAGAAGATGCCGGGGCCCATATGGCACTGTCGACTGTGACTGTTCTTCCGAGACTTTCCCTGCTATGCTGACCGAGGAACCTCGCCAATGTGGGGCTCCAAGTTGACTGATCGTTCTTCTTCCTGCAGCTGCACTTTTTTTTTATCTCTCTGTCAGGACATAGCGGCGTGGAGTTGCTGGCAGCTCGCAGTGCGGGACAGTGCGGCCTGGGCCGGGGGGGACGAAGGGGGGAAAGGGCCCTTCGGTCTGCAGCGCAGGACCAGGAAGACAGCTGGGCCATCCTAGTGCTCAGGCCTCCTGGGAGCCTCCTGGTCTCTGTGCTCTGTGCTCTTTGCTTTCTTTCTGCAAGTGATCGCGGCTCTCTCTCTCCGCAGCCTTCAACTCACTGTTGTGAGCTTTCTACTTTACAGGGAAGACGGGTCTGAGAGTGTTGTGAGTCTTAGGCATGGGCCGGCATGGGGTCAGATGGCTGCAGCTGTGAAGGAGAGTGCATGCAGCTCGCTGAGCCACGTGGGCCAGATTCTCTTCGAGTACGTCTCGGAGCTCAGCCGGGCGGAGCTGGACAAGTTGTACGCGGATGCTCCCTCGGTTCGCGTGATCTTCCGGGAGGCGGTGCCTCCCGTGGCCCAGCAGCTGGTCATGAGGCTCCTCCTCGGCGGCGCAAGGCCCTTCCAGGAGTCCGTGCTGAAGCGCTGGTGCGCCACCTTGTCGGCCTTGCCGCACAGCGCCTACCTCAGTGTCCTGCAGCGGCTTCAGATCCTGCTCCCACAGAAAGCTCAAAAGCCCGGGCAAGCTCCGGTTGGACAGCTTCTCATGCTCCACAAGACGTTTCAAGGTAGCCTCTCGGCATACTTGCAAGGTGCAGAAGGACTGCCGAGAGCGCCTGCTTCAGCTGCGGAGGCTTCGCCGGAGGTGTTAGAGGAGCATGCAGTGGCCTCCTGGGAGCGCTTCCTGGGAGAGTTGTTGGATCCGGACTCGGAGTCGCTGCTTGCAGACTTGGCCTCGGTCTTGAACTTCAAGGGGTCTACGGGAGGCCTGACGGCGGCAGGATTCCAGTTCGTGCTGGACGAGCGCCAGCAGCAGCTCTGGCGCTTGGTGATCTCCTTCCTAAAGAAGGATGAGGCCGGGGCCGCCGGGGCCGCCGGGGCCAACGGGGCCGCCGATCGGAAGCAGCAAGCTTTGCAGGCGCTGCTGGCCATCGGTGAGCTCGGCCTGGGTGAGCCTTTGACTTCGAGTGCTCCAAGGCCATTCCTTCGATTCCTTGTGGAGCTCGGCGTTCTCTACGAGGCCGGTCCCGGTACAGCCGGTACAGGGAGCTTCTTGACCACGCCCGCCGCGCTGGCGCTCTTTCGAAGGGATGTGAGCCAGAGGCTCTCCCGCAGCACCGGCGGTAGTGAGGCAGGGGAGTCACAGGGCCTCATCGTCGAGAGCAACTTCAAGGTCTACGGTTACATCTCCAGTCCTCTCCAGGCCCGCCTCCTCGGACACTTCTGCGAAATCTTGGTGAAATTGCCCAACCTCGTGGTTGGCCAGCTAACGGCCGAATCAGTCCTGAAGGCCATGAGCCAAGGCATCCGTGCGGCGCACATGCTCCGCTACCTCGAGGCCGCCGCCCACCCGCAGCAGCGACGCAGCCGAGAGGCCGAAGGCAACGAAGGCGGAAACGAAGGCTCCGTGCCCTCCAACGTCTGCGGCCAGCTCGAGGCGCGCTGTCTTTCTGGACTCGCTTCTCCTCCCCCGGCCCCCTCTCTTCTGCCAGAGGTCTGGGAGTCCAGTCGATCCCGGGCCGCGTCCTCGTCGGCGGTGCTCTTTGAGTGGAGCGCGGAGGACTGCGAGGACACCTTCGAAGAGGCAAAGAAGCTGGCCGAGGCTCAAGGACACACACAGCACACACGGAGCAGAAGACTTTTAAAGACGGGCCGTTTTTTTCTTTTGCGCAGTCGCCTGTGATGTGAGGAGCTCTGCTGTGGTCTCGAGGAAGGGAGGCAGATCGAGCGCCCGTGCTGGTGGTGCGCCCAGAGGCAGCAGCACGCCTTCGAGATCTCCTCGGGGTCGCGCCGCCAAAGCCGCCAAAGCCAGTGCAACAGCCGGCATCCGCAGCATTTGCACGGAGCTTGAATCCGAGCAAGCGGCTCAAACTGGAGAAAGACCTCTGAGAAGCTTAGCCTGGTCCAGGCCTCAGAGATCTTCAGAGCAAAGAGTCTCAGAGTCTCACCCTAGCACCCGGTGGACGACCTTCATGACCTTAAGATGGGAATCGGAGGAGCAAGCTAAGCCTTCAGCGGTTGCGCCGGCAAGAGCGATGATGCGGACAGCACTCTCATAAAAAAAGAAGCGCCGGCTGCACGGCTTGCAGACAGGTCAAAGTTGTTGTAAGCCGCAGGCGGCAGTACGTTCCTCCGTTGATGGACGTCGTGCAGGAGCCTGACTCCTCCATAAGTGTCCTGCAAGAACTCGAGCTAGACGATTGACCACCTTGGTGCAGGATTTCATCCTTGCGATGAAGTGCCCGAGCAAGTCTGTGAGCGCGCAGATGGTCCAGGCTTCGTTGCTTGCATTCTGTCAGTCTGCCCGAGTCTGCCTTTGCTGCTGTCTTCTGGACATCAGAGAGCGAGAGAGAGTTCAGTCGGCTTGAGTGGGCCATCCAGAAAGCTTGAAGTCAGAGAGAAAGGGAGAGAGAAAGAGAGAGCAGAGGTCATGCTTTGCACGCTTGAGTTGAGCTCACCATCACATCGGGGGATCTTGACTTGGTTTCCATTTCGGCACGTTGCCAAACACCCCAGACTTTAACATGACTTTCATCATGATACACTGTGCGAATGTGCGGTGTTTCTACGTCAAATCTTTCACTTCTCGAGCCTTCAAGGACAGCCAGCACAGTGGAAAACGAAGTTTTGCTACATGCGTGGAACACGAACATTGCAAACAGTTGCTGCATTCCTCGAGATCTTACACCTCCGCCCTCTCCTGCCTTCTTTCTGGCTGCACTCCTCGACTGGCCAAGGACTTGAAAAACAGGCAGCTGCCGACCCCTTCGCCTTGGTTCTCTTGCTAGCCAGGCGGCAGGTCTATCCTCTAGGTCTCCCCCTGGTCAAGCCCCTAAGGGGCATGCATAAGCGGCACGTGTGCCCCTTGTCCGCGTGGGCATCCAGGGCATAGTACATGCGCCGGTTGCATTGCTGTAGCCCCCGCACTTATCGCACTGCACAATGCACCTAAATATCCTGGCACGGTGTAATGACCGATCAGTTCTGATTCTGCAAGTACCTTTCAGACCTTTGTGGCATTGCTCAGTGACACCCATGTGGTGGTCTACACTTCTGGATCCCACTGACCGACACAGACCCAACCACAACTTCAGGACTTAGCAGCAGGAAACAGTAATGCTCACCTTGTGTTCCCTGGCGTCGACCACCCGGACAACAATGTGTTGGAAGTGGTCTCTGAACTTAGCTCCAGTTTTCGCACGTTATCCATGTACTCTGGCGTTCGATATCGTCGTCTTCTTGCTTTACTTTTTCAATTGGAAGATGACCGTCAGCTGCCTTTTTCCGTAGTTGGGTGGTCATCCCAAGCTCTGATGCCTTTGCAACATCTCTGGCTCGACCGGACACAGCCAGCCTCTCGTACATATTGCGGGGCATGGAAGACTTCGACTTTGTAACTTGAAAGCATTCCAGCGACTGCAGTAGTACCTGTGTGTACTGCGCTCGCACATGGGCTTGGGGAATCACATCCCGCAGCATGACTGAATTCACGTGGATTTGCCATAACTTTGCACGACTGTATGCGCTTTTTCGTTTGAAGCAGGGGGCACAGGCCCGTCTTGGACACTTGTGCAGCTATATTGAGACTGGGGAAGGGTGGTCTGATCAACCACCTTTGCCTGCAAAAGCCCGCCAGAAATAGCCCGAAAAGTTGTTGTTGGCGTAAACGGCCTATCAGTGAAGTGCCTGGCATGATTGCATCCAGTAAGTGTGAGCCAGCAGCCAGCGTTTCGCCGCGTACGTGCGCGGTTGCAGCAATCTGCACATGTGTAAGTAAAGCAAGTCAAAGCTTTGCACGGCCAGCACGCGACATCAGCCAGCAAGTTTGAAAGTAGTTCGCCAAGCCAACCATGGGTGCAATCAGCATTTGAGAAAGTCCGTATGCGCGCGCGCTCTGGCATCTCCTGCCCCGAGCCTCACCGAGCCCTCATGCCTTCTTTGTCGTGCCGGAGCCTTCAGAAACGAGCCGTTAAGCATACTCCACTGCAGCCTTCGTGGGCGACTGCACTCCGAGTACGCTCGAGTATAGCCGAGCATTCTGGAGTACAAACGAGTACCATCAGAAAACGTAAACCATAGTAGTCACTATGGCAACAGTTACAACACATATGACATGCGGTCTATCATGTGATACGTGATGTATGACACATGACGTATGAATTATGACTATGATATAGCACATCAGACATGTGATACATGATATATGATATATGACTTGCGATATATGGTATGTTATGTATTATGTATGACAATATGATTCCGAGCTTTGATTGGGTTTGTTTGGCCAGCCCGCAACGGAACCGAGTCTGACACCGCAGCTGCGGGCTCAGACGGCCCTGGTTCCGTTCTGGAACCGGTGCCGAAGCTTTTCGATTTTTAGGCTGTACTGGCCCGCAGCTTTCCTTTTGATGTCTCGAGGCGAGGCGCTTTGTGCCCTCCCTTTTTTTTGCGGTGCTTGCCCGTTGCCCGACCAGGTCGGCGACGGCGACATCGTGAACGTAGGTCCGGGAGTTCCCGGTCCTCTTCCACTTCGCGATCTGCCCGTCCGGTGCTCAACTTGACCCGGCGGTGATCCCTACTTCCCTTGTCCGCGCCCAGGCCGCCGGACTAGAAGCTCGTCTTCTTCTTCACCCCGACGCCGGTCCCCTTCGCGATGCTCTCATGCATCCGAGGACCGTGTCTGCTTTGCTTCTGTTTGCATGTCTGACCGCTGCTTGCCTCATGTTTGCTTCAGCGTCACATGTACAAGTCTTTTCAGTATTGTGGGTAGGTTGTTTTTTTTCCGCAGCCGCTCTGCTCTGACTGTGGATGCTCCCCGCGCACATTGCCGTTTGCATTTACATCATGACGGGCAAGGCTGATGCTCCGACCGCTTCCCGGGCGGCTGGCGACGAACCGGCGGTTACCCCGGTTCCGCCCCCGAACCCGGTGCTGTCTCCCTCCTCTGACGAGACCACGGAGGCAGCTGTGGAGGAGGAGCAGTCTGCCCCTGTGTCGCCGTCCCCGGCCGATACCGCCCCTGCGGTGTCTGCCACTGTCCCGGCCGAGGGCGACTCTGGCACCGTGTCCGGATCTCCGCCGCCGGAAGCCTGGGGTGCTATTATGTCCTTCTTGGACCGCCCCCAGGAGGCGCGGCAGTCGGCACTGGCGTCATTGCCCACGTCCGACCTGATCCGTTTGACACTTGAAGCCTCCGCTACCGCCCTTGGCCGGCTCAGCTGGTACGAAGGCACTTCCGTGTCCGTCTCCGGGGACCCGATCCGTAACCCGCCGCCTGGGCGTCTGGTTCTCCGCGCAGCACCTGTCGTGAAAGAGCCTCTGCCCAAGTCTACGGTTCCGTCCCCGGCCCAGGAGACGGCACAGGTCAAAGATGAGGCCTTAGATGCAGCACCGGCCCCGCCACCAGACACATCAGATGCTCCATCGGTGGCCGTTCCTAAAGTCTGTCCCATCCCGTATCCGGGAGGAGGCAGTGGTGCTGCATCTTCTGCCGCCGGTCCGGTTCCGGGTCGGCCTGGATCTTCCAACGATGCTGCACCCGACCCCGCGGCAAGTCAGACTACCCGGCCCAAGGCGCGCCAGCCGGATGCTCCGAATCCGGCCCCCCGTGCCGTCCCCGAAATCGTCCCCGATGATTCGGACGACTCGCTGTGGGAGGCGGCCTGGTATGGCCAGCTTCACCCGGGGCATCTGGGCCCAACGAATACTCCTGGATCGACGTCCGCCCGCATCTGCCTCCGCTCCTCCGTTGCCCTCCCTGGAGCTCCCGTGAAGGGTGGTGCATTGACGTTCAGATCCCCACCACTGCCGGCACCATTCACAGGCCGGAGTGGTGGCCTTTTCCGGATCTGTTCTGTTTGAGTCCGGGGGAGCACCCACGTTGGCTGGAGCCCCTGGAGCCCGCTGCACCGCTTTCACAT